TCTGCCCTACTGGTGACCTCCAACAAGGCACATTTCCACTCTGAGTGTCTGTTTCTCTCTCTGTGTAAAACAAGAAGTGTTGAGACACCTTCCCGCGTCTGCAAGGTCTAGGCGGGTGCTGCCCAGGCGCAGCTTGCTTCACTGAACGCCACAGAGCTGTGGCGATGGGCCAAAGCCCTATAAGCACAATCTCTTGCACACTGCCCTCACATGCCCATGTTCCCACTAGCCGTTCCTGCTGGGACTTCCCCTAGCGGCCTGTTTCCCTGTGTGGTTGGAGATGTATGACTCTTGAGTTCCTTTTCTGCTGGGGTTATTTGCTGTGGGAGCTCAGCATGCTCCAATTCATCAAGGTTCCCAACAAGCAGGTTTAGCTTTAACTGCGCAGAGGCCTCGTCGTCATCCTGGACCAGTGTTTGGGATGATGTTTTGGTGTGGAGTCAATGTGAGCTAAGACCACACATCTGTGTAAACACAGCCCTGGGTATTCATTTTTTGATATTTAAAAAATTATTCTTTCATTATTGAAGTAGTAACTGTGTGATGCTTATACAAATTCTAGGCATGCATCATTGAAAATCAACTTGTGTATATGAAAAGTCTTCTGTGCAAAGAAGCAACATCAGTTTAGACACTGTAAATGATTCAGAGGTAGAAGAACATACCCCTCAGGTGTATGTCACCTCATGACACCCACCACCAAGGTACCCCTAGTCTTTCACCATAGCCTATTGTGCTCCCTCCCCACCTCTGGCTTCAATTCTGTATTTTCAGGGCTTGTTATTGGTTTCTTTATGACTGAAACCATAGAATCAGTTTCCCTAGAGTCCACCTGTAAGTAAAGCCATGGGTATTTGCCTTTCTCCTTTTGACTTATTTCACTTAGCTTCATCCCCCCCAGTTCCATCGATTTGGATGGATGGAATCCACCCAAGTGACAAGGGGGTCGCTTTTTCGTGGCTGAGTAGTATTCCATTGTGTATATAGACCACATCTTCCTAAACCGTTTACCTGTCTTTGGGCACTTAGGGTGTTCCCATGGCGTGGCTATTGTAGATAGTGCTGCCCTGGACTTAGGAGTGTACACAGGAATGTTTCTTCAGTCCTCAGGTAGAGACCTAAGAGTGGAATTGCTGGATCTTATGCAAGACCAATATTTACTTTTTACTGAACATGTTTGTGAAGATTCTTTTTTATTGTAGTAGATCTATTTTTCATCTTTTGAGAACCTCACTCCCCATTCTATTTTCCAGGGCCTGGACCCATCTACATTCCCACCAACAGTGTCTGCGGCTCCTTTTCTCCTCCACCAGCACGTAGTGGGGTCTTAGGAGATTCCTGTCTCACACGTGTGAGGTGATAACTCTCTGTGGGTTTGATGAACATTCCCTGGTGACAAGTGATGACAGGCCTTTTCTCGCAGGCCTGTTGGTAATCTGGATGTCTCCTTGAAGAACTCAGGGCTGGGGTTCAGATACCCCTTGGAAGATGCAAACACCGTAGCCATTTTCACAGGCCAATCGGTAGAGTTTTTCTCATTTATGGTGGTGGCTGACACAGCCCTTCTAGATTTCTAACACATTTCCTGAACCCCCACCCCCACCCCATCACTGTACCCCAGACCTGTGGCCTGAGTCACCTTCTACAACCTGGTTCTGGGTCCCCTGGGACTAGGGCCACATGTGACTCAGATGTAGGAAAGTCCCTCAGTCATGGGGCTCTTTGGGGCCCCTGGGACACTGCTCTGACTTGGGGTTCTCTCTGGCAAGGACTATTCCCTTTATGGACTGTGAATTTGAGTGTGTTTGGAGGAAAGTGTGTGAGCTGGTGTGACTAAGGGAAAGAGCAACCTTCCTTGTGTGACCTCAACCAACCAAATTCTCTGTTGTGGCTGTCACTTCTTACCGTTAACTTTTTCATAGTTATAACGGTGTGCACATACAAGTGCATTTGGTGCCAGGCCTTCGGGAACCAAGCTTTCCTGCTATTTTTATTGAAGTCTGAAACCCTTTCTCCAGAGGGAGCAACTTCCTTTCCACAGGAAGGAGAAACCAGGCTCCAAATGTGCCTTTTCTCTCCCTGCATCCCTAAAATGAAGATGGAGAACAGCTCTTTTCACAAAGTGATGGAGATAGAACTTGTCTTGAGAACGGGGGGAGGGGGAGAGCAATTACTGCATGAGAGAGATGGAGAGAGGGAATGTAGACAAGAGCAGAGGTCCTGGTGGAGAAAGGAAAAATGGAGGAGAGCTGAGGTTTGAGTGGAAAAAGTCCTGGGCATTAAACTCTGTTGGTAAGAGGAACGGACAACAGTCAGTCCCTCTGTCTTCCCATCCCCTCACTTCTGTGTGTGTGTGTGTGTGCGTGTGTGTGTGTGTGGTGAGCATTGGCAGGTATGTGAGTGTGTGAATGAGCGCAGTGAGGTTATGTTGTATGTGTGAAAGCACATGTGTCGCTGTGTGAAAGAGTGTGTGTATGTCAAAGTGCGTGTGTGTGTGTGTGTGTGTGTGCACAGAGAAACATGGAGGTCAAGATATAGGGAGTCCTGAGAACGCAGTGTGAATCACCCCTTTCTCACTCTCTTGGAGTGAGAAAGGTTTTAATTCCTCATTTGCAGATTAGAAGATTGTATTAATTTGTCAGTTCTAAGCATTACTTGAACAGGGGTTCCTTTATTCCAAATGACACAGAAACTAACAGATAAAACACATGAACACGGAGCACCCTCCTTGGCATGGAGGTCAGGCCCTCGAGGTCCCCTGCCTGGGCCACCTCTTCACCCTTTGAGGAGACAGGTCCTTGGGGTCCCTGGGACACTGTTTGGAAGCTGTGACTCCCATGGAGGCATTATAATTAAGATGAGGAGGAGAAAAGCTTCCCTGGCCATAAAATTCACAGGATAGAGCTGAAGTAGCGAGATTTCCCAAAAAACAGGAAGTCAGAGCTGCCAAACTGTGAAGCAAGACTTTTCAGGCTATGTTCTTCCTTCTAGAACCTTTCACCTCCTTCTGGGTAAGTTGTTAACAGGCAACAGACTGCTGTGTGTGGTCCTTGGGAGGCCTGCCGCCTGGGAGGGAGCACTTTCATTAACCAGCTGAGGCATGAACAAATTATTTCACCACTCACAGCTTTGAATTTTATCTGTGAAACAGGTGAGTAAAACAAAGAGTCAGTAGGAGTCACTTACAGCTCTAAAACATTCTGAGATGGAGTCAGGCCACTCCTTTCTCTCACACACGTGTGTACAGACGCGGTGTATCAAATGTCACTGGTTCTGTCGTTGAGGTTGGGTTCCCACTGCGAACCAGATGTCGGACGAGGACACCCTGTATGGACACTTAGAAGGAACTTAGCTCCAGTAGGACCCAGAGCCAGAGAGAGGGACAGAGACAGAGGTGCAGAGAGAGACTTGTACATGTATGAACACCAATGTGAAGAAAAAGTGTAAATTTACATACCAACATAAACAGTCATCATTACCTCTTGGGGATAGCAGGAAGGAATTGAAGTTGTAATTAAAGGATACATTTTCTTGCCTATAGTATTTTAAAATTTTTAAACAAGAATTTGTATGTTGGCTGTAAAGTTGAAATGCAACTTGTTTTAATGCTTTCGTTTTAAGCCACAGAAGCATCCCATGCTTTGGGGAAGCAACAGGGAGCGGGTTGGAGAAGGAGGTTAACAAGTTTAGGAGAAAACAGATAAATAAACAAGAAAAAATAAAATCTTGTGGGTGCTAATAGATGAAACAGAGGGACTTGTGGGAACATACTGCAGTAACTCTTGACCTGACTGGGGGTGTTAAGAATCAAGGAAAGCTGAACCAAGAAATTTTAGTCTAAGTCTTACCTTATCCTAAGTCCAAAGTGCTTCACTCCAAGTGGCCAGAGAACAGAACAAATAGCATTGTGAATTAAGAGGGGATGGAAGCAGAGAAGTTATAACCCAAGTTGATATAACAGCTGCCGTGACCCGTGATTTACATACACAGCCATTAAAGAAGCCAGACTTCAGAAATGCACATCCTTTGCTCAGAAGCCAGCTTGTAAAACAAGATGCAAGTCAATTTAAAATCCACATTCGCTCCTTGATTCCCTGTCTCAGATGACGGCTGAGATAACTCAAGAAAGCAGAATTGGGGATGTGGGAGTCATAGGACAGACTGAGCTCAAGTTCCAGACAGGACACAAACTCTAGCCCCTGAAGTGAAAGTGGAGTGGGGGTGGCGCATGGGCAGAGGGCAAGTTCAATGCCCATATAAGGAAGACGGACAACTGAGATAGGAATCAGAGTTTGCAAAGGAAATGTTCTTCCTGGCCCATGCTCCTAAGCCTGGTGCCCGCCCTCCTTCCCCCACCATCACCAGGAGTTTGCAGCCGTGAAAACCAACCGGATGTTACTTCACTCTCCCTTAGGGTGATGATTCTTATTACCTGCTCTTATTCCCACTCTTTGCCCACATCTTTGGATGTGCTCATTGGGGACCTTATTTCTAGCCCCAGAGGGCTTCATCCAGCAGATGTGACCCTTAGAGAGGGTCACATTCCTCCTTAGAGAGGAATGACAGGTACCGCATGGTTCTCCAGGCAATTGCCACTGTCCAATCCAACTTGGGGCTGTGGAGCTTGTCAGAAAGCAGAGAATGGAAAATTTGCTCCAAGTGGCAAATGAATCAGTACAGTGTTATGCTGTAAAAAGGTCTCTCTGGGACACCTAGGTCCTGGGACCACACCCCAGCTGATGCTGAGGCTAGGTGTGCCAACTCAGCACCTGATGCCACAGAGGCATGTCAATAAAAAAATCACCCTAAGTGTCTATTACAAATGACCAGACTTGAAATAACAAGAGAACTAAAGGGAAGAAAATAAACCGCTGCATTTAATGGTACAGGAGACATATAAGCAGGAGTCTTCCTTTAAATGACCCCTAATGACTCAGATGCTTTGAGTCCCATATTATTTTGCCTATTTCTGCATAGTAAAACTTACGATTGTTTCTAACTCAAGGAACTAGAAGGCACAGAGAGGACACCTGCTTCTTTCTCTCCCTGAGTTTTTTCCATGCATCTTTAATCTCCTTGTTTCGCAGACTGTATATGATGGGGTTCAGCATGGGGATCACGGCTCCATAGGATATGGACACTACCTTATTTTGTTCCTGTGAGTTACCAGTGCTTGGTTGGAGATAAGAAAAAAGGCCAGAACCGTAAAAGAGGATCACAGTAGTCAGGTGTGAGGCGCAGGTGTTGAAAGCCTTTGCCCGTCCTTGAGAAGGGTGCATCTTCATGACCGCAGCAATGATGTAGCCGTAGGAAACCAGGACAATGACAGCTGATGCTCCCCCAACTGCACACACAACAAGAAAGTTCACTACCTGGCTGAGAAAGGTACTGGAGCAAGACAGAGCCAGCAAGGGTGGCAGGTCACAAAAATAGTGGTTCACGATGGGTGGCACACAGAAATGCAGCCGGAATATGGAGCTGGTTTGGACCAATCCCGTGAGGACCCCTCCAGCATACGTCATCAAGGCCATGGCCAGGCAGACGGCAGGGGACATGAGAGCGGTGTAGAGCAGGGGGCTGGAGATGGCGGCGTACCGGTCATACGCCATGGCCGCCAAGAGACAGCACTCCGTGGCTCCCATGGCAACGAAGAAGAAAAACTGAGTGGCACAGCCCAGAAAGGAGATGGTTTTCGGCTCCTTGAAGAAGTCGCAGAGCATCTTGGGAGCTACGGAGGAGGCGTATGAGATGTCAACAAAGGACAAGTGACCAAGAAAGAAATACATAGGGGAGTGGAGGTGCGACTCCATCTTGATCAGGACGATGAGGCACAGGTTCCAAGCCAGCGTCATGAGGTAGATGCTCAGAAAGAGCGCAAAGAGGACCACCTGCAGCTCTGGGCGCTCGGAAAATCCCAAAAGGATAAAATGGGTCATGGTGCTGCTATTCCTTCCCCCCGTCATGTATCTTCTCTCTGCGGCCAGCAGGGAGATTCCTAGGGCAAGGAAAATCCAAGTGATGACGCCATTTTGTTCTATCATGGAATCCTAGCCCCCCCAGTGCCAGAGGCCGGAAATGCCCCAACTGGGGACTTCCCAGAGCTCACCGCCACCTCCTGACTTGATATCAACCTTTGTTTATGCAAGAGTGACAGTCCCCAGAGAAAGCTGGCATGTTTGCATTATCTGAGTTATCACCTCCACAGACAACATCACCCCTTTACTAAAGTGTTTGGATCAAATATCTTCCTTGTTTTCAGTTGCTCCCAAGTATTATGGTTGGATGATTATATAGCTCGGATTTAGACTACATGTTCCTCTTTTAAAAGAAAATAAATATGTCAGCACTTCAAGTGCCCAAGTGTAATTTTGTGTTTCTGGCATCATAGTTTGTTTCTGCCCCGAGGTATTCTGTCACCTTTAAGCAGGAAAGTGAAAAACATGAGAGTGTGTGAAGGTTGCAACCCCTTTGGACATAAAGGATGAGGTTTTACAAATATTCAAACTGAGAAATCTTAATGTTCGTCTTGCACAAATTTTATCAACCCATCAAATATTTTGTGCTGTGTGTTTGGTAGAACCGCTGGCAGTGACCTGGGAAGTAACAAAACATCATCCTTCTGTTCAAAATGTTCAGCACAATGCAAGGACAGACAGAAAGTTGACGCACCACTGCACACAGAGGTAGGTGTTCTTCGAGAGGCTTTCGCGTGAGTCCCCCAGCAGGGACAGGGTGGTGCAGACTTCAGGGAGGAAATGTTTAGGGGAGATTTTAACCACGAACATGAGGCTAGCAGTATGAAATCTGTGTGTGCGAGGAGGGAAGGAGTTGTGCAGGGAGCCTGTAGTAAAGACAGGCAATGTATTTGCCAACATACAGGAGGCCACAGAGGTTGAGAAGCTCTAACATGTTGGCAGGAACGCAGGGTAAGTAGGGCTAAAAGAAAAGTCTAGTTTTCAGAGACAGCAGGGGCATACACAGTATGGGAGCTCTTTAAAAAGTAAGATGGGGCTCTCCTGTGGCACAACGGGTTAAACTGTGAAGCTAGCTGCAGCTGCTTCAGCACAGGTTTTATAGAGCTGAACCACATGGCGCTGCAGACCTCTCCTGTCTTGCCCACTGCTCCCCTCAGCAGTGTACTTCGTCGATCTGCCTGTCTGGTGACCCACTCTGCGTCTGGTGACCCTCACGCTCCCTTGCATTGCTGTCCTGTACCCCAGTTCTGTGTGCATAAATAAATAAATCATTAAAAAAATAAGATGGAAAAGATATTTGCTCAAGTGTTTCACCTATGAAGTTGCATATAGTATATATATATTGCATATACCACATAGAAGGGTGTATCTATTTATATGTTTAATTTCCACCTTCTCTCCATTTCTCGACTTCTATCCCCCTTAACCCTGCTCTGTTTTTTTCAATATAATTTATTGATTGTGTCTGTTTTTCTCCACTAGAATGTAAACTTACTGAATCAGGGCTGGGGTCTTTGGGAGCATTTGTCTATTTTTCAGTGAAGCATCCCAAGTGGCTATACCAGTGTCTGGAGAAGGTACTCAAGGAGTAGTTGCTCAATAAATGTCATGTTAAGGAGTTAGCCTTTCTCCTAAGAGCAAGAGATAAACAATGGTTTTGTCTAATTTCACTTTTTCCTTGTTGACAGGTAACTAGTTGTCAACTGAGTGTTTAGCAATATAACCCAGGGAAGAGTAAAAGATGGTGGGGCAGAGAATGGAAGACAAGACTAGAAAGCTGCTTCAAAAGCCAGGAAGAAAGGGGGTGGTTTGGCGTGAGACAGTAGATTCAGGAAGGAAGGCTGCTGAACTCTGGTGGCCTTGCTCAGTGGCAGGGATGTGGGAAGAGAAACCATCTGTGCAAGTCGTAAGCTCTGCCCCTCCCCTTTCTTGCATTTCAATGCTCCAGAAAGGTCTATTTCAGCAAAAGCTCTCATAGTGTTTTTCTACTTCAACCTCGAAAGCTACATAGGTGACGTAAAATAGGCTACGGAGGCCCTCCCTGGTGGCGCAGTGGGTTAAAGCACAGCACTATGAAGCTAAAGCCACTTCAGCGTGAGTTCGATCCCTGCCTTCCCCAGAGGTGACCACATGATCTCCGCCTGCCCCAGAGGTGACCACATGGCGCGGCAGACCTCTCCTGACACACCCGCTGCTCCCCTCAGCAGTGTACTTCGTCAATCTGCCTGTTCTGCTCCCCAGTCTGCCTCCGGTGAATCCTCTCACCGCCCCTGCACTTCTGGCCTGTACCCCAGTTCTGTATGAACAAATAAATAAATCTTTAAAAAAAAAAAAAAGGTCACGGAGTTTACATAGGCTACAGGCTACATAAAATAGTCTATTTTGTGATAAAATTGTCAATTATTTGATAGGCTTACCACATGGATCACCTCATTATTTTCACCTGAAGTATCGGGAGGTAAAGATATAGGACTATAGTATATGACCAATATTAAATTTCCTAATGATAATAAAAATTCCTTGAAATAATAGCAATAATAGTTGTGTACCTAAATGTACATGCGGGCATATGTCTACATAGAAGGTCCCTGGTAGGAGAACGGCCACTTCTTTTGACCATGTTTTTGAGCTTATGCAGCATCTTCACATCCATTACTCGTACTCATCCAAGGCAGGACTTTTACATCAGACAGAGCTGGTCTCTAATCTTTACAGCACTGCTCATAAGCTGTGTGGCTTGGTCAAGCTGATCACCCAAATCTGTTCTATTAATTTCCCTCCACTATAAATGGAGGCAATTCTAAGTCTACCTAATAGGCTGTGAACACTAATGGAATATATTTTGGAGCAAGAAAGAGGCATTTTTGTTACTACTTACATGATAGACACTGTCAGGATTTGAACTCAGGTCTGTTTTGTCACCATCCAGAGTCTGCTCTCCCCGCAGCTGCAGCCTGGACCCTGGGGTGTGTTCTTGAACATAGTAATAAAGTCACAGCTGCCAGCCATTTTCCTTCTTTCTCTCCTTTCTTAGCTCCATTTGTAAATAGAAGAACCTCTTAAAAACAGAATCTTCTGCAGAATACTGGAATATAAAATCAGTAAGCCAGACCCCTTGTTTCCAGAGTAGAGAGAGGACACAAGCATCTTACCTGCTTCACCTTCCCTTCCTATAAAGACCTTCTTAACACTCCCGTCCTGTGGTTCTAGACCTCTCAAGGCCCTGCTCCCCAAGAAGGACAATGAGCTGACTCACCTAGGGCGCTTTAAACCCTGGTTTCATCCAGCTGGCTAAAAATCGGCATTTGGAGCAAGAACAAAGCCCATCCCTGCTAACTCCTAGGCTAACAGACTTGGTAGAAAGATAAATAAAATCTGGCTGTAGCTTCTTTACATGGGCCACCCAGCGAAGTGCTTTCTGGAGCTTTAAAGGAAGTCCAGCTCTCTGCTAGGTACCACAGGGTTTCTCGAGGTTGTGAGGCATGAAGGTCCCAGAGAGAACCTATTACCAACTTGGCTGGCTCTCAGGGCTCAGAGGTGAACAGGCTGCCAGCTTCGGTTGGGTGGGGATGATTTCCATTGGCCCTGCTTCCATTATATTCTCAGCCCCTGGTCAGGTTCCAGTAACATATCCCCAGAGACAGTGAAAGCCAAAAGTGGTTTCCAGCTTCAAATTATGTAACTATTTCAAACAGCAATGGTTTCCTTTGGAAAGCACTAGATATTTTATAAAATCTCTTCAATGTAAAGCTACTTATTGGGTAACTCCAAGGGTTGGCATCAGTGCTAAGTGGGGATGAGGATGGGGGGAGAAAAAGCACAGTATTTTATAAGAGATTTATAAGACAGTCAAAGGGAGAATGGTGCTGGGGTGGTGTGGAGATACTCCTCTGAAGAGGTGTGACCTTGCCCCTCTAAGTCACACACAGTGATGCAAAGAATGTGACTTCATTCAAAGCAAAGCATGACAGTAACAACAAAAGTGGTAGACTGGATATTCTGGAAAGGAGTAAATTCTCCACCACTGGATGTAAATAAGAATAGAGTTTACAGGGAAGAGTGTTATATTTTAAAACACGGTCTGAATTAGATGACCTTAAAATTTAAGGCTATGATGGCCCTCCCTGGTGGCGCAGCGGGTTAGAGCACACCACTAAGAAGCTAAAGCCACTTCTGCATGAGTTCGATTCCCGCCTGCCCCAGGAGGTGACCACATGGCGTGGCAGACCTCTCCTGACCCACCCGCTGCTCCCCTCAGCAATGTACTTCATGGATCTGCCTGTTCTGCTCCCAACTCTGTCTCTGGTGAATCCTCTCACCCTCCGCATCTCTGGCCTGTACCCCAGTTCTGTATGAATAAAATAAATAAATCTTTAAAAAAAAATTTAAGACTATGATTCTGTGAAATAAAGAGAATGAGAGAAAAAGACAAGCAGGTCTCACCCTTTGGGTTGTGTATACTCAACCTTCCTTGTACCTTAGTTCATAACATCCTCATAACATTCCCAAAGGGAAGCGTTCTTAAATGCATTTCAGATGAAAAAATGGAATTTAGGAGAAGGCCATGCAGGAGATCACACAGGGAACTTGTGACAAAGCCGGAATTGTACTAAAGTCTTCCAAAATCCAGAGTCCGAGGTCTTCTACCCTCCCTCCCGGTTCCCTGAAAAGACATGAAACACGGACAGCAAAAGAGGGAGGTGGAATCTTGATGGGTCTCTTTTTTTTCAAAAGATTTAAGTGCAGGGAGTTTAAAAGAAAAACCATATGGAGTTTGATGAGAGTCAGCATGTCCTCATGCGTATGTCTTGTTTATGTTTTATCAAATATACAACTTGAAAAGACTCAAAGTCTATTTGTGTGTCTGAGGAGGGATTTGCAAGGAAGAGGAGGAAGTGGGCATTGTGCAAACCCACAGGACACTGAGGCTTCTCGGGAGGAGCTGTGGAAGATGGTGGCCACACCCTGTTTGTGTTGGCAACTCTTCA